GGTCCTTACAGCCCCAGAGCCCCTGCCAGTGGCTGGGTAAGAGACTGCCGTCCATTGGCTATGTGGTGCAATGCGTGATTGGCTCCGCCACGCTTTTGCAGCAAAATGTCATTTGCTGCGTGAATTTGGGTGGCTGCTGTTCCACCCCAGCCATCGCAATAGGCCATCTGCAGCGGCACGTCCTGAAATGCACATTCTCATTGGCCATGCGCGCTGTGCAACACCCTGGGCTCCTGCTCCCAGCCAAGCTCCCAGTCTATCACCTTCAGCTGCAAAAGCGGATCAGAGCCTGCTACGGACAATGACAGGCGCTGTAAAGGCGCTCTCTTCAGTTCTAGCATTTCCTGTGAAATGTGAAAATTGAGCTTTCTAACCAGACAGAGAAAACAGACGTTTTCCTGCCCACTGCATCACATCGTGCTGTACACAAACGCATGCATCTGATAGGCATGTATTTAACTCCACATATTATCTTGTGCATTTACTGCTAATTATCAATTTCCTTTCCTGCACAGAAAAAAATGCATAGCAACACCAACTACAATGCTTTCACAGTCCATCTTCAACCAGCAGACAGGACGGACTAACAATAAGCTGCATTATAAAAATAATAATTGAAAGAGCTGAGTAGGAAAGACTGGAAACCCTGCTGTTCTTTATACACCGCGTTCTTGCATAAAAAAGTACCTCTGTTTACAAGATTGCGGTGGTGTCTCCAGCGGCATCAAAACATAACAGACACATTATACTACTGGAAGCTTTATCTAGTGCTCTAACCCTGCAAGCTCCTTCTCTCAAATCACTATAAGATGTGAAAAGGGGAGGAATATTTGCACAAGCACATCTGGTACATTTACTTATTGACTAAATAAATGTTTCATAAAGGTTGCTTCCAAGCAAAATCAACAAGCAGAAATGACATAAAATTTTAACAGCCATGATTAATTATTTTGCCTTAATAATTCTGCTAATACAGTCATTATGCACATTGTCAGGCTGTCTGTGGATCTTAGCTCTTAAAGGGAAAGCTGCAAGTTCACAATGAACAGACAGAACTGGGATGCTCCTGGTGAAAACAGAAAGCTGATCAAACCAAAACCTCTACATGCTGTGGGAGTGTACGTAGCCTTCTTCACCAGCATTTGGAGGTGAATTCTAGACGCTGTTTATCACCCTAATAAACTTAGATAATTAGGTATCATGCAGTTTCAAAATTTTCTTTTTAAACTGCAGCTTGTTAAGAGGTTTGTCTCAGCTCCAGATAGGTATTTAATTTCTCTTCTCTACAGTTCAAAAGATGGACTTTCACTTCATCATCTCTTTTGTACCACAGTACAATGCAGAGGCGGATAAATAAGGATGGAAGGGCTTCTCAATGTCCACACCCTATTAACAATTTTAATATTTGTCCTGAAACAACATTTATTCTGACATCATCAATTATCAAAACAAGTCAACTATGCCTTACAGATAAAGAACATATACAACATAATTGAAGATTATTTTAGTAGGGACTCCTTTAAGGAGGTAAACAAATTACCAAGAAACAGCTTGCAGAAGCTTAATTTATAAGATGCATAGTCAAAATTGAGCGTGAGCCTGTATTTACTGCGAATGTATTATTTATAATGCTGTTACTTGACACCAGTGTTTTGACTGCTGTATTTCCAGCTCTCTGAAGAGTATGCAAAAGAACTCAAGACTGACCAAAAATGTGATCTTTAATTGTCTACATTTTTCAAGAATGTCCCATAGATTTCACATAAATGGACCATACTCTGAATAAACAAAATTCAGCTCCATTAAGTATATTGGAATCATGGACCACAGAATGCATTTTGGGTAAGTTCAGCCATTTAGCACTGGACCAAAAAGGTCCTTTTTCCCCAAGAGAAATAGAGGTTCGGAAAAAAGAAATTCTTCTTCCTCTTTCAGAATCCTCCTTCAACATGACACCGAGGTTTCAGAAAAGAACATGAGAGAGCATATGTTAATTATGTTACGCTCATGAGTAATAACCTTCTTTGCCATTGGAACATTCACACAGAACAATCTCCTGAATAGTGAGGTTTAGCACACAAGATCTCAGCCCATAATTAGTCCAGGATTTGAAGAATAAGATAGATGGCAGTAAAATTAAGAGACTGATCATTGACAAGTTTAACCTGTTTTCTGACGTTCATTAAAGGTAAGTGAAGTTCCTCTCTAGGTTTGCTTCACTTGCAGTTCATCCACGGACACGGAGTAGTGAAACAGCAGTATGCTCAGTGGAACAGAGAGTCTTCCTAAAAAGAAAAACATAAACCAATCACTGGCTAGTTTTCTGACATACAGTCTTCTGCATTCTGGTTCTCTGCATTTTGGTTCTTTTCATTTCATGAGGAATATGCGTCCATCTGAATGTCCTCTTCTTGCCACTTAAAGCATGCACAATAATTAGTATTAACTACACACAAAAATATTTCTTTATTAAATCCCTCATTAAAGTTACAGGGTTTGTTTCATTTAAACTAAGTTCATCCATTTCACTTTCAAATACACCTAGGTCAACATCAACAGATAATTAATGAGAAAACATCATCAGTAAATAAAATTATTACTAAATCAAGTATTTAACTCAACTATACATCATCCAACTCTACCAGAAATACCTCCTTCCAGTTTACAAGCTACCTGTCATTTAAATGGCAGAGATTACTTCCTGGAGCTTTGTTATCGACAGCTCAGATGCTGTCTCACATACACCCACCAAAGAAAGCTTACTGAATGAACTGGACCTGCAAGTTTTGCTTCATTCCCTAGAGAATTACAGCAACCCTAGAGCTGCATCGAGTTTTACTTGATGCTAAGATTCAAAAAACCTTTTCAAGGCTCTCCTGTTCCCTCAATTTTTCTGTATTGGTTTAAACAACTTTCTCTTAAATACCTTCTGAGATTACACCGGTGTTGGCAAAGTTACATACCCATAAAGAAGTGACATAATGATTACATGGTCAGTCTTTTTCATCAAGGTACTGATGTATGAATCCATCATAGGAGACCTACAGAAACTGCTATTCAAAGCTCATTCATTGGAACGTGCTTGTTTTGGGGAGATACCAACCAGATTGTTACGAAGGCTCTCCCTTTCTCAAGGGAGACTGGGTCCCTGTGAGGGCGCAGAATGAGCCGTGACTTAGCAGTGTCTCCACAGCGTTCTTCAAGAGACTCAGATGATCAAAGGTTTGCGTGAACGAAGTGGGAAAAGACACAACCTCCAGTTAATTCTAATGAATCCACATCAGAACAGCAAAGAAACATCCTGGAAAAGGGCAGGGATGCCTGAGCTGCAGTAAACTGCATTATACATTTGACTGTAAAATTCTGGACATACTCAGCATCTCATTAGCAAAAGACAACACAGAGTATGATGAAGGGATACTGTAACTTAACTCCTGCATCAGAGCAAAGACACGCTGTATGGGAGGATATGACAGGACGCTTCATCACCGCTGACCTTCTTGGGTAGGAACAGGCCTAACCAGAGGCTGACAAACGACCACCGGCTAAAGGCCACGCACCCTGTACTCGCTGGCAGCAACGTCTGCCTTCTTACACAGAATTTCAGAGCGCGGACAAGCTTTTAGGAGCCTGAAGCAGCTCTCCAGTTTTGCCACCACGGAGGCATCATCCCATTTGTGGATGGGGCCGCACAGTCCCAAGCGAGCTCAGAAACTGAGCCAGACGTGTGGGTAAGCCAGGTGTCTGGCAAATCAAGTATTAATTAGGCACTTAAATATTAACTGCCGCTTAGCGCCTTGCTAGGTCCTTCTAAACAGCATGGTTAACGGAGTTCACCAGAAAGCACCTGCAGATGCGGCAGCTGACTTTCTGACTGGCCCAGGCCGAGCTCCTG